GACCGTGTGTCAAATAGGGCGGACAATGAATATCCATCTACATCATAGGGCGGACATATTACACACATATCTCAATTGTTCAGTGACCCTCGAAAAAAGGGAACCCTTTTTGGGGCTTGGACCATTTTTAGTGGGGCAGCCACCAAAAAAAACAACAGGGGGAAAAAGAATGGGTGCCACTGAACAACTGAGATATGACGCTATTTCGCACCCGGCGCTCTGTTTTCCACCGCAGCACGTCCTGCAGCAATTCCAGCGGCCACAGGCCTCGGCATTTTGGACTTTTTTATCGTCACCCAAACGGTGACTTCCTTTGGGCTGGGTCCTCCAGTAGTTTGAGGGTAGAATCAGTTGGTACCCTATATGTTTTTTCTGGTTTGTCTATTTTAGTAGGGGAAGCCTCCCAACCGAACAAGGGGTGAGAAAGGGCACTGGGGGACCTAGTTGGTGTGCTGAACACGGTCATGCTTTGAATGGCCAAATTTGTGTCCTGTGGTCAGGGACAGGGCTCTTTGATGATTGGTGCGCATTTTGAAAGAGCAGCCAAAAAGAAAGCACATGAACACCCCCGAGCAAGCCCGGAGCAACCCCTATCAATGCGTTACGCAACGAATTCACTGTGGAAGCTCATTTCAACTTGAAGGGGCAAAACCCGAAGGACCCGGGGATCAAAAGGGGACCGGTCCCAAAGACATGTGGTCCGCTTGGATCCTGGGGGGTATTCCAAAGCATGTTATATCCCTGGATAGGATAGCATTGCACAGATTGAGACAAGAGCGTAGATGCTGGTCAACGAAATGTACCGCCGAGTTCAAATGTGGCAAAGCACGAAACCGTCCAAAACACTATGGCATACTGGGCGGACCTAGCTCACAAATGCAGAGGTGCACTTTGCCAGGGGTTTGCACTAAACAAAGAGCATCCTCTCTCCATGCTTCTGGTGAGCATGATTCTGGCCCTATGGGGTGCGTTCCAGGCATTTGTTGAGGTCTGCAGCTGCATCTTTCACAAGACAATATTCAGATTCCCGTTGAACTGAGCCGAGAAGGCTTTCACGAGCTCTCCGATCCATGCAGAGCATCCTCATGTAGCCAATGTTTTCTTCTGACCGATCCAAACCCTATCGCATCGCACAAAATTGAGAGGTCTCCCTTGGAATCCAGCCATGTGGCTGGGATTTCCTCAGATCCAAGGCCAAAAGTTCTTAACTTTGCGTGGTGGGAAAGCTGCCACTGAACCCCGAAAAGGCCGAAAAACCGCCTAAAAAAAAAAAAACTGGACGGGGAGCGAGCCATGGAAGCCCCCCATGTGAAGGTCCTTGCGCCCCTTCAGCCCGGCACCGCTGACCATGGCTTCCTCATGAGGCTCATAAAAGGCGCCTCGCGAGACGTGGCCGGAAGCTCCAGTCCGGAGCCCCGAAGCCATGGGGAAAAAGGAGAGCAACCGCAGGGATCCAGATACATTCTGCACCTGAACATTGCATTGTAAATGGGGGTTTCCAACTTTATCTTGGTGTCGAAAAAGCCACATGTGTCAAATGGTGGCAAAATGGAGATCTTTTAAGGAGCCCTGATAACAGCGGGGGGCACCTTTTCGCCGGGGACACCACAAAAGTCGGTCGATGCCGACTTCACAGGTTGAGGGTGCCTTCAAAGCTCAAGGCATTCGGAAGTTTGGGTTGGAGCTTGAGGGGTGCGGGGTCCGCACTGCAGACCCGAAACCCAACCTTTGGACAGACCGCAAAAAAAACAACAACGAGGCGGCCAATTTTGGATCGGGCCTTTGTCAGGCAAGTTGCTGCCATGAGGTGGACTTTCCCTCGTGGCCAATGCTCGAGAACCCAGATCAATGCAATGCCAGACCTTTTGGGTTCCCCCAAATCCTCGCCATGCTGCAGGTCCCGAATCAGCCGGCTTCTTTAGCTTCCAAATCAAGTCTCGGAGCAAGCCTGCGGAAAGCTTAGACAAACACAGGGGTATTGACCCATGCCCACATCCCAAAAGTCTTCAACACCCTCAGGCTCTTGCTCAAGGTCGCTTCTCCATGCAGCCATTCCTATGAAACCATCGATCCTTTGCCGTGCCCCTTTCGAGAAAGCGCACTTGGAAGACCCACTCCCAACGGAAAGTGCAAAAGGCTTGCACATTTGTTCAGTTCCCAAAGAGCCCCCAACTTTTCTTAGAGGGTTCTGCATTGGAGACTCATGCTTAGGCTTAGAGCTTGTCTTGAGATCTGGGATGGCAAGATGGGCATCAACCGGGGCAAGATGGTCAGTGCTGTCGGCAAACGAATTCCTGCAACATGGGACCTCCGACATACCGTCCCATCCGCTAATATTGAACCAACCAAGGGGATGTGAACTTGAAATCTCTTGGTGGATCGTTGTTCTGCTTGTCACCCCCCCCCCTTCCGTGCGAAAAAAAAAAAAAAAAAAACAGGCCTGGCATGGCCCAAAACCCATGGCTCCGCGGTTTGCCGCGCTGTCAGCTGGGAATTCAGAGTTGCTACCTAAGGCTGTGGGTCAAACTCATATGGCCGTGGGTCAGAATTAAACCACCAGGGGACCGCAGATTGTTTTTTTTCATGTTTCCATTGTGGGTACCGATTTTTCACCAGCCATATCGAATCGACCTAGGTGATGGTGGAAGCCCAGTACCCGGATACCTGCCCGGAAAAGCGACGTTGCGACCTGTAAAGACTGACATGTCGCGGTGCTAGCGGTGCTAGTCTAAAACCTTTCTCTTTGGATCCAAATAAGATCTTTGACTTTAGGCATGTAGCCTCCGGCATTCTCGCCAGCTGAGCGGTAGGCTGTGACGGTTTCAATTGAGAACATTCCAAACAGGAAACTGTAAACTGCAGCTCTGCAAAAACACAGGGGACCGGCAGGTGTCGTCTGAAGAGTATACTGCATGGGGGAGGGGGTGGTTCAAACACACATGAGAAAGATCCTCCCTGGATGACAAACTTGAACGGCTTCCAGTGTTTGCCCTTCACATGCCAGGACCACAAACTGAACAGACCCTTTCTGGGATCAACATGGCAGCTCCCCCAACAAAAGCTTGGTCAAATCCAGTGGATTCCTTGTCCCCTGGGCAGCTGAGCCGCTGCGTCGAGCAAATCAAGGAGTGCCATCCCCTTGACTGCTTTGCTTTAAAAACGGTTCCTTGGTAGCACAGAAACTGGCCTTAAAAAACAATCAACACTATGGCAACTGTCTGGGTGGCTTCAAAGAAGAAAAGAGCAAACCAACCGCGGGCATTCCCCCTGTGAGATGTGAGACACTCTGCATCGCCCAAACGGGAAAACAGTGCACACCTCTTCAAACTGACGTGGAAGCTGAGGAAGGGTCCAAACTCGTTGGGAACCTCGGTTACCGCAGTTCATAGGATTCAACCGCTCCTAGCCCCCTTCTGCACTTGCTGTTTCTTTTCTCCAAAGGCCTTAATAGATCTTAGTAGAGGTCTTATGATGGGGCAATACTCTCCAGTGAGGCATGGAATCGGCAATCATTTGCATCTCGAAAAGCCCGTGGACGTTGGGGGACGATTGGGAAGATTGGGCTGGGAAAATGTCTGTATGGTGCCCCTCCTGGTGATGGTTGCCCATGGGTTCCATCCATTTTCACATCCCACAACCTGTTCCACAATCGAGTCAGGGGTTCCATGGTCACCGCGTTCCGCCCCTTTTCAGAAACCAAATCTAGCAATTTCTCAGGTTTCAATGAAAGCGCCACGATTGTTTCAGGGGCTTCCAAAACACGGAACTTGCTCCTCCCCGGCCCAAAAGAAAGGAAAGAACAAGAACAAGTCGCAGGTCTTATAGGCGCTTGGATTCGAGTGGTTAGGTGTGCCTGCAAACATAATTCCGCGCTATGAACCCTGAAAAACTTGGATTACGCCCAACCCATGAGCTCGCAAAACATACTGTAATTGTCCACCACATCCATTCCCCAAAATACAATATACAGATTGTGTGTCTGTAGGCGTCCTTGTTGATTCCACACAAACGTCATTTGCGCTCGAAAGTGATTCAGCCATAGCTGCAAACGAGCCGTACACGTTGAAAATCAATTGGTTAGCGCTAACACTTCACACCCGACCAGCTGAAGGGCTTCCAAGAGCCTTCCACAAGTAAAAAACCCGGCGCACGTCTTCGCCGGTTTGATTTCGCCTGACGGCTCGCCGCTTCGCCGCTTCGCACCCGAAAGGCAGACTCTGCAAGCCTTGGGCGACCAAATTGCTGCCAGGACGTCGCAGTCGGATTCTGTGAGCGATCTGGGATTGGTTTCACTAGGTCTCGCTGAACTTGCTTACGACCAAAATTGCCTTCCCAAAAGTGTCAAGTCCAGAAACTGCAAGGCTTGGCTTCCGCCATCGAAGCCCCTGCCCAAAGCTCCTTTCCTAAGTACATTGGCCCAGGCAAAGTCCACTCTTTCGCTTTTCCGAGGTCCTCCAGAGAGGTTAGAATAAGTTGGTACCAACTTTTTCCCCTGGTCTTCCCCAACCGTACCGAGAAATTCCGAGAAAAGAACTCCAACCTCCCAGATGCGAGGTCACCGAACCGGGATCGCGGGTCTGAGCAGCGGGACCTATGCATTGCTCGCGAGAGCTCGGAGACGTCTCCCAAGCGAAGAAAACCAATCCACCGGGGAGTACGTCAAACACGTCAAACATCTGGCGGTGGTGGTCAAAACCGTTTTGGATCCCATTTTGGGGTACGTGCCCCACCCATTTTTGTCTACTGTAGTGGGGATTGGGATGTTCACTGGGGGTACGGGATTTTGAGCCATGGCCATCTGGGCGTGACTCTTGTTTTTCTTAGGGGACCCACAAATGGTGGGTTTACATTTCTTTCACCAACCCCCAATAAAGGGTACCCACAAAAAGATACAGACCGCCCAGACGTTTCGGACCTTTTGAAACATAGTTGCCCCATGCCAAGCACACAGGACCCACCATGGATACAAGTTGTCCGCATCAACCGGTCCCAAATCCCGAAACAGCCATTTTCCTTTTAGGTTGTTTGAAGGCTGCCTTGATGGCCTCGGGACAAACCAAATCCATCCGCAAACTCGAAACTAGGCACTTTTGGAGGAAGTCTGAGCTGGTGGAGCAAGAAAACACGAGCGGACGTTCCTTTCCGGAAGTGCTCGTCCAGTCCCTGGGTCGTACGAACTCGCCGAGATAGAGCCAAAAGTTCTTCCCATATCAGGTACTTGGTTTTGAGCCACTTCTTAACAAACCAAACAAAAATGGCTACTGGGCGTCTGGGTCTAACACTTGGCCTCTACGCCGGGTTGCTCAATTTTTCGGCGAGTCGGGCGAGCCAAGATAGCATGGCGGGTGCATGCTGGCTAGTCGTGTCAGGCGATTCCAAGGATTGCGGGGCGTTGGCTCTCTCCGCATCTCACCCTCAAGGGTGTTGCAGTTGAGCTTGTGAATGGAAGGTTGTCGTCAACGTCTCAACGCTAGCACGCCGAGAGCAAGTCAGGCAATGTTCCTTGCAACGGACCCTAGTTCGGTGTTGGACATTCCTACGCAAGTGTGGTGAAATCTAATCTGAAAAGAGTATAAAAGCGTCAAGCGTCATGTTAATAATTACAAGGGGCTGGCTGAGAACAACTTTTGCTCCTATGACTTCATTTGGCCTTAAGGTACAACGCATACCAATTCCTATTTAGTCCTTTATGGAAGCCCTTATCTGACATCACGTTCAGCTCGTATGGTCGAAGCTCTCCTTGAGGGTGTCATACGAAGTGCCCAGACGGCACCGTTTCGACCATTTGGTCGACCGGCGCTTTGACGCGTTGAAGGCGCGCACGCTCGCCCGAAGCTCATTGGAAATAGACTCAAGCAGCAAGTCCCGGTGTCGAATCGTGGCACGTGAAAGCTCCACTGCTCTATAACTTTGCCAAGTGCAAAGCCATGCGTGCAATGAACAGTGAGTTATACTGGACTTAGGAGTTCGGAAAGATGGCCAAAACACATTGAACCATTCAAGCGGATTCCTTTGGATCATTTGGGGGAACTAAACTTTTGGGCTACTTAGCGCCCAGCAGCTGTTCAGCGCGCAAAAACCTCATAGACGCCCACACAAGTTGTCCACCCCAAAGGAGGTTCCTCAAATGTGTGCATCTGGGGTTCCATGTACGTGACCAGCTCGCTATACTTTGTTCAGATATTGCTTGCTTCTTGCAAAACAGCATCAGCACAACCTGTGGATTCTTCAATGCGAAGGCCGCAGAGAAAAATAAGCTCAGCTCTGCTTGAAAGTACAGATATATCTGAGAAAAAGCAACATGTAGAGCACGACAAGTACAAGCTCTCTTCGCAGCAGGGTGTCGAACTCATCTCGCAGTCGCAGTATTTGCGAGTCGGGAAGTGCTGCTTGACAATCGGCCCCCGTGGCTAGCCCCAAAAGAGGGCTGCCACGAAGAATTCCGGCGGAAGTCGAGCACCGCTTCCGCGTTCTGCATGCGCCTGGGGGCGAGGCGTGGGACGTGCTCACAAAGCCCATGTAGATGCTGGGAAGGTGTGCTCTGACAAATGCGGAGGACCATGCTGATCTGAGGTTGCCCTAAAGTGCAATGATTCACAAGGAGAACCCCTGATGAGTTGGTCCTGCACATTGATCCGAAGCGAACATTCTGGACTGTACGGAAAGTTAGGAAAGCTCATTCCAGAATTCCCTGCCAAGCACCAGCAAACAAACAGCTGCCCGTGATCTTGATTGTTGGCTACCGGCCCGCCGAGGCCAACCCCCCAAAGGTTAGCTGGCACCGTTAATCCAAGCAGTCCGAGCCAAAAATGAAAAGCGCCTCTCAGTACGGGATAGCAAGACCCACAGCAACTCAGGCCAAGTCTGACTGCTTGGTCATGCAGATCAGCAAATGTTGGCTGTTCGGACAAATGATGAAAGCTCGAGTTCGACGAGCTCTTAGGTACCACCCTCTGAGGTGCCTCCAACGGCCCCCCAAAATGGTCCTTCCCGTCCTGCGTCCTGCCCCCCATCCCCCGTCACCTCTCACGCCACCGCAGAGATGCGCGAGGGGGAGTCCGCGAAGAAGTGGGCGCGGTGAGGGCTCACGGAGCTGTGGTTGCTCTGCGGCCTCGCGGGGATTTTTGAGCGGGAGGCCTGGAGGCCTGCGGCCTGGAGGGCTGGAGGTCCACAGGTGCTTGGGCAATCGAAAAGACCAAAAACCGGTCTAAGACGCGTGTGCAAAAGCTTTAAGTCGCGTTGATGAAGATGGGGGGGGGGGCTGAATGGCTTCCGGAGATGGTTTAGGATGTCGATTGCGGAAGCGAGCCACTGAAATTATTCCCTCTCATCCGGCTTGCTCCAAAACCCGCCTCATGGAACCCAGAAAGGTCAAGAAATATCCTTTTCAAAGGAACACCCAAGGGCGCCAAGGAAAAAACATCGCCCAAGAAGCGGTGGTAATTATTTAGAGGGCAAGGGTAAAAGCCACCCTTCCGGGTGTTTGAAGAAAATCGGAGC